TCTAGTCTGGGTGACAAAGTGAGACCCTATGTCTCAAAAACAAATAATAATAATTAAAATAAAATCCCCCTTATCATTTCATAAGATTTTAGGTGGTAGGTGGGTGTAGGTCTGTGTGTTTTGTTGGCTATTTTGATTTTATCTGTGTTAGATCAAAACAGTGTGTGTTAAATTGTGTGTGTGTGTTCATGAGTGACAGAAGTTTTGTCCTATTTATTTTTGGACTTATTTCTCAGATTATTGTTTTCTCCTCTAAATGATTAAAAGAAGAGAAAAAAATCATAAATTCAGAGTTGAAATAAATACTGAATCTCCCATCCAAGTACTAACCAGGTCCAGACCTGCTTGGCTTCAGAGAACACGAGATCAGAAGCATTCAAGGTGGTATGGCCATGGACTGAATATTGAATCTTAGTCTTTCTCACATATCTTTTTTTCTCTACTCATTTTGTTCTGGAAAAAAAAAACAGCCAAATAAAACAAATATGGTCACATCACACTTGCTGGTATCATTCAGAATGTACCTACTTTTCCTAAAATTGGTGCCTATATAGTAGCCGATTTCAGGATGCCGATCAGGGCTGGGTGACAGTGTGATATCATGGTTATAAGCATGTTAGAAACCATCAGGCTCTGGGAATCAACTAACATTAGCCACATTCACAGAGACTCAGTTATAATCCAGAATGCCAATATTTTTCCCTTAGAGTACAGGACACATTGTAACTTCGCAGGGACCAGTATTGTAAATAGCAGAAAACTGGAGCTGAATACTGGTTCTGCCATTCACTCTTTTTTTTTTTTTTAATTGAAACAAGTTCTCACTCTGTCACCCAGGTCGAAGTGCAGTGGTGTGATCTTAGCGCACTGCAACCTCCACCTCCCAGGCTCAAGTGATTCTCCCACCTCAGTCTTCCAAGTAGCTAGGACTACAGGCGCACACCACCACACCCAGCTAATTTTTGTATTTTTGGTAAAGACAAGGTTTCACCATGTTGGCCATGCTGGTCTTGAACTCTTGACCTCAAGTGATCCACCTGCCTCTGCCTCCCAAAGTGCTGGGATGAGCCACCTCGCCCAGCCTGCCATTAGCTCTTGAGTTGGAATCCTGGTCCTGCCATTCCCTCTCTTTCTTACCTATTATTACTGAATCTGCACTTTTGTCCTCATGAACATTAAATGAAATAAACCACATGAACTTCTTGGCACAGTAGCCAGCACATAGAAGACATGGAACAAATATTAGCGATGATAATGAAGATGATGATGGCGGTAATCACTGAAGCTCTGCTTTTTTGATAGCCCTCCCAGTATCAATAAGCCTGGGAAAATAAATTAACAATTCAGATGGATCATTGGAAACTGTGAAATTAGCAAAAATTGTCTTTATATAAAAGACATTAAAAATTTTAGTTTTATTTAGCTTTTTATCTTTAGTTGTGTTATGATTGGAAAAATAACATTTTGTACTTCCATTTTCTCACCTATAAATTGAGAATAATTTCTTTGGGTTGGCATGGATATTCAATAAGTAAACACTGTGAAGTGTTTTAAATGGTGACTACCCAGTAGCAGCTCAAATTTTTTTTTTTTTTTTTTTTGATAGGGTCTTTCTCTATTGCCCAGGCTGGAGTCCAGTGGTGTAAACATGGCTCACTGTAGCCTCAGACTCCTGGTCTCAAGAGACCCTCTCATCTCAACCTCCAGAGAAGCTGGGACCACAGGCACATGCCACCACATCTGGCTAATTTTAGTTGTTGTTTTTTTTTTTTTTTTTTAGAGATGGGGTTTTGCTACATTGCCTATGCTGGTCTTGAACTTCTGAGCTCAAGTGACCTGTCCACCTCAGCCTCCCAGTATGCTGGCATTACAGGCATGTGCCACCATGCCCTACTTTATCCTTGTTTTATGTTTAGTTGGTGATTTTATCATTATTTTGCCCAGCTTAAAAGATGTTTTTTTCAACCAATGGTTGGAATACATGATTGAATATAATTTATGTGATAAATACTTAAATTAAGACTATTCTAGAAAAATTGGAACATGATTACTATAACTACAGTGTACATTTTTAACTAGTTTAAAAATCTTTGTATAAATTTTTTCTTATTGCTCTGCAAGCCAAAGAACAGTGTACACTTTTGATTACCAGATACTTATGTCCACCAAATACACCATCTCTCCTCTATGAATTCTTCCTACCTGATGCTATTACTTCAGTTGTTTTCAAACGATTGCTCTTTTAAGTATTAGTGATGGCCGGATGTGGTGGCTCATGCCTGTAATGCTGGCAGTGTGGGAGGCAGAGACAGGTGGATTACCTGAGGTCAGGAGTTCGAGACCAGACTGGCTAACATGGCAAAACCCCATCTCTACTAAAAATACAAAAATTAACTGGGTGTGGTGATGCATACCTGTAATCCCAGCTACTTGGGAGGTTGAGGTAGGAGCATCGCTTGAACTCAAGAGGTGGAGGTTGCAGTGAGCTGAGATCGCACCATTGCACTCCAGCCTGGGTGACAGAGCGAGACTCCATCTCAAAAAAAAAAAAGAAAAAAAAGAAAAAAAATTATCAGCGAAATCCTTTTATCAAATAAGATTTCACAATATACTACAATATGTAAGCAATCTGGGTTGGAGTTCTATATCCAGAATCCTGTGTTTTTTTCTCTCCGTGAAACTCAGTGCTCCTGGAAACACAGTTTGAATACTTTATTTCTCATTGGTAGTGATGCAATCAGTTAAGCAGATAACAATTTTCTTTATAATTATTATGCACTGGTTGTGTGTGTGTGTGTTTCTTTCTTTCTTTCTTTCTTTTCTTTTTTTTTTTTTTTTGAGACAGTCTCACTGTGTCACCCAGGCTGGAGTGTAGTGGTAAAATCTTGGCTAACTGCAATCACTGCCTCCCAGGTTCAAGCGATTCTCCTGCCTCCACCTCCCAAGTAGCTGGGATTATAGGTGCCCACCACCACGCCTGGCTAATTTTTGTATTTTTAGTACAGACAGGATTTTATCATGTTGCCCAGGCTGGTCTCGAACTCCTGACCTCAGGTGATCCACCCACTTTGGCCTCCCAAAGTGCTGGGATTACGGGCGTGAGCCACCATGCCCAGCCCTGGTTGTGCATTTCTAATGATATACCCTAGTTATTATTTTACACTTAGGAACACTTTTGGGAAATAGTTTTACCAAAGGTACGTTTACAAATCACATCTTAGGATTGGCTGCTTTTACAGAGCGTTGTTACAGACATTTTATATGGATTACGTTTAGCTTTCTTTACAGAGCATGACTTTTATTTTACCTCTCCCAAATCAGGTTATACCATATTTAGAATCTATCTTTCCTCTGAAGTTACCCTGGTCAATATTACCACTAAATAAACAGATCACAAGTACATTTAAAGTGTTTTCTTATCAAATTCATTGGGGAATAATTTACACACATTTTTCATATTTAAAGTGTACAACTTAGCTACCATAGTTGCATACACCTGTGAAATTGTCACTACCATCAAAACAGAGAAAATTTCCATCACCCTCCCCTCAAAAATATTTTTACTGCTCCTTTGCAGTTTATCCTTCCCTCCACCCATGGCTCCAGCCAATTACTAACCTTGGTTTTATCATTATAGGTTAGTTTGTACATCATATAAATTATATGGTATGTTTTGTCTCTGGCTTCTTCAAATCAGCATACTGATTTTGAGAGTTATCCATATGAGTCCTGTGCAAGATTATTTCTTCTTTTTTATTGTTGAGTCATATTGCATTGTTTAAATGTATCACTTTTTTTTTTTTTTTTTTTCATTTACACGTTGGGCATTTGGGCTCCTTCTGGTTTGGGGCTATTGTGAAAAACAGCTGCTATGAGCATTCCCGTTTTTGTGTAAGCATATGTTTTAATTTCTCTTGGATAACATCTAGGAATGAAATGGCTGGGTCATATGTTTATCTTTTAAAGAAATATTTTGCTTTATTTTGTGAGAACTTACTTAACTCCCACTGCATATCTAGAACCAGATAAGGATATTAATTTACCTGATTCTCTAGGTGAGAGGTGAGAAAAATTCCTTTTCTTTCCTCCCCATGGCCCACCTACTTGCATAGTTCATTGCTCGTCCAATTTCTTTGGGTTCTTAAAAATAGTTTCAACCTCCCTCTTTTTTTTTTTTTTTTTTTTTTTTTTTTTTCCTATTGTTACCATCCCAGGGTTGGTTGGGTGCCTATTCTGGATTGGGTATTGTGCTGGGCGCAGAAGGGGCACGCGAGACTTTGAGTTAAAGGAGCAGCAAAACTTTGTTCTGTTCTCTGGACCGAGTTGGACAGACCACAACTACGATTATGCTTCAGGCAAAGTATGTGAGAACGCTTGAGGCAGCATTCCATTTACTTGACTCACATGCGAGAGAAAATATTCCACTTTTGTTTGAGTGTGAGCTTTAGTTATGTATTTATTTTAATCAGGTGTGGCTGTTAAATGAAAAGGAAGCAATAAGTGAAACAAACAAAAAAGAGTAGCGGAGAGAAACAAGTCTTCCTTTAATAACAAATACCTTTCCCTTTGACCAGCAGGTCCCGAAGTGTGGTACCCAGACTGGCAGCACCAGTTTTCTTTGCTGAGAACAAGTTAGAAATGCAAACTGTCGCGCTACCCTCCAGACCTAAATGAATGGGAAACTCTGGGTTTGGGATCTGTGATTTAAAAAGCCCTCCAGGTGATTCTGATCTGCGCTCAAGTTTGAGAACCGCTGTGCTAAACTCATTCCCAGGGTGTGGGTGGTCATCTTTAGTCTTGGGGAACTGTGGTTAGTAGAGAACATTGCTGCAGCGCCCTTCCACCTCTTCCCTGCTCGCACCCCCAGCGCCTGCAACAACTCTTTCACCGGGAGCCTGAACCCAGACTCTGGGCTTCCCGTTCCCTCCCTTGGGAGCCGGAGGCAAAACGTGGCAAGTGGATTCAGAGTTTGAGGGCCCGGGTGCCGACCGAGCATGCGCAGTGGCGCGAGCGCAGGGGTTAGGCGGGCGCGGAGAAGTAGCCGCAGAGTGGACCTGCAGGTGCTTGGATCTTCAGTGGGAGCTGCGCTCTCGAGGGCAGAACGGCGGCCGCGGCAGGTACGCGGGGCTGGGGATAGGACCCAAAAGGAAGGCTAGACAGACAGATGGAAAGCAAAGCGTTACTCATTTGGGGGCGCGCGGCGACTCGGGGGTAGTCTCTCCCGGTCCCCTAGCTCGCGTCTGTCTCCAGGCTGTGCAGTGCGGCGCCTGCGGTCTTTCGGGCTCGCTTCGGGGCAGGCAGTGCCCGCAGGTGTTAAATCGCGTATTTACACTGCTTGAACTATAAGCCTGAAAACTGAATTGTGATTCCCTGTAATGAAGTAAAGTATTTCATTAAGGTTTCTGTTTTCCACTTTGGGTGGCTGCCAGTGAGGCTTTCTTATCCAGCCTGTTTTGTTTGAATTCTGTGACTGGTTTATTTGCCTTTGGCCTTTTGGTGCATAGGATCAATAGGGCTGGAGTAAAATCCCACCCGTGCTTTCTCTTTTTGGTACCTTTCCAAGAGCATAGGGACCTCTGGATGCGGCATAAAAATGTCAGTTTTCAGCGAATTTCACTGCAAATAAACTTTCCGTGTTTCAGCTGCATTTTCAAGTGGAGACTTTACAAAATTTAAGATTTCCCCCTAACTTTTCAATTATTACTTTATTTCAGGCGTCATTTGGTACTATTAAAAGGAAGAGGTCGTTTAGATGAGTGACAGTTATCACTTTCCCCCTTTATTTACTGTGTCACGTTTTATGGCTTATACAGTGATATTTTTCCCTCGGGCCACGGTGTTGGATGTTTGTATGAGGCTTAAGCGATGCTGCATAAATTTCTTCAAGAACCTGTGAGCTAGAAGCAAAATTTCAGGCCAGGGGGCACACACTGAACTTGAAGCAAGTACTTTTACACCCCCCACCAGCTTCGTAATCAGCTCTTTTTTAAGTTGAATTATGTAATGAAATTCTGTAGTAAAGTGTTAAATTTGTAATATGGAGGCATACATGTATAGAAATAGTAAGTTTAGGAAGAAGAAATTTTAAGTTCAGAAAGAGAAACCTATTTGGAAAGGGAATACAGGTATCCTGCCCCCCTTCATTCCTCCCATGATAAATGTTTTAATGGCAGAAATAATATACAGTTGGTCTAGTTTTGGACTGTAGAGACCTTTGAGGTCATCCAGTTCAGCTGCTTCAGTTTACAAATGAGAAAACTGAGACCAGCGAGGTTGGATGACTTGCTGTGGCCACCCAAGCCCCTCATTGGTAAAGCTAGGCCTGGGATCCAGCTTTTCTCATTTTCTGGGGTCTTTTTACCACTCCCTGCTGATACTCTTCTTTACCTCAATTATTAAACTTATTTTTCTCTTTTATCTTCTTATACCACGAAGTCTGGCTTAATCAGAAAATTAGTTGTTTCTCTTACTAAGCTTGCTAGTACCTCATAAATTCCTTTTAAAAAGTGCCCTCTCATGGAAGCCCCACCTAACAGTTTGCTGGTCCTGAAACCACCCTGCTTCCTTCCCTCAGTCACTTGGGTCCTTGGCCCAAAATGCCTGTTTGCCTGTCTCTTTCCATATTGAAGTCCTGCCCATGCTGCAAGGTATAGCTCAGGTGTGACCTCTTTTTGGAAGCCTTCCTTGGTTGCCATAGTGTGAAGTAGCTCTCCCTCTTCTGAACCCTATAGCACTTACTACTGTTGTTTGTGCTGTTAGTATCCCCATTGTATATAGTATCCTGAGTATTTTAGCACCTCCCAGCTTCCCCACCAGGAAGTTGATAGGTTGTGTAAACTCTTGGAGGTTAAAGCCTATGACTTAAACATCCTACCCAGCACTGAGCACAAAGTATATTCTCAGCCATTGTTTGTGGGAGGGATTGGGGGAAGGAAGTAAAGTATGGATAGTTTTGTAAAGGGATTTCATGTGGTGGTTCTATAATATGGGGAAGGCCATCTTAGAGCTGTATCAAGACAGCAGCCAAGTCCATTTATGATTGCTCAGATTTTGATAATAGATCACAGATTAGTTAGGGGAAGTACCGGAGACAGGCATAAAAATATACTAGGGAGCAGTTGTCCAGGCCCCGGATGAAGCCTGTCACTGGGAGAATGGAGGGCACAGATTTAAGAAATGTAAATGAAGAAGCATGTGGTGAAAGACTAGATGCAGAGAAGGAAAGACATGTTGAAAATGAATTTCAGGGTTAGTAATGGGTTTATAATGTTCTTTTTATCTTAGAAGTACTACCAATTGTGATACTGTCTCTGTTTCTTATAGTTAGTGATGTGATTATCTTATTTCCCATTCTAGATGATAAGCTCTCTGAAGGATGACCTTTAACCCCTCACAATACCTGGCACATTGCTTTGCAATATCAGACACTCAATAGTTGTTACATGAATAAATAAGTAAATAAATAAGTGCATTTTGGCATGGGGAGGGTGAGCATTTAGGATCTTAGCACTATATGGTAACACTTTATCAAGACATCCCTTAATTGTATAAAGGAGGGACTCAGATATTCTTAACTAAGTTAGTTAGTGAGATAGCCAGAAGCTCTAAGTTTCCTCATTACTAGACCCAAGGTCGTCTCATTAACTCTTACTTTTTAAGATTGTTGGCCCCAAGATGATGATGATGATGATGATGATGATGATGATGATGATGATGATGATGATTTTGAGACAGGATCCACTCTATCGCCCAGGCTGGAGTGCAGTGACCTGATCAGTGGCAGCCTTGACCTCCCCGGGCTCAAGTGATCCTTCCCTCCTCAACCTCCCAAGTAGCTGTGACCACAGGCATGTGCCACCATGCCTGGATAATTTTGTATCTTTTGTGTTTAGAGATGGGGGTCTCATTATTTTGCCCAGGCTGGTCTTGAATCTATCGGCCTGCCTCAGCCTCCCAGTGTGCTATGATTATAGGCCTGAGCCACCATGCTCAGCCTCCTCAAATTAATTTGAGTTGGTAGCAAGATGCTCCAGTTTGAGATGTTTTGCAGATTGAAAGCCCTCAGAAAACAATCTAAAGGGGAAATTTAGTGGCCGATGAGAGAATGTGTGTGTAATTGGAAGAGTGAAACACAGGCTGCTAGCCAGTTCAAGGTTGAGTACACACAGTGAGGAGGGAGTGAGGCCAGGCTCCTAGGAATCTGCACACTGGGGAGCTGAAGTCTGTAAAGGTCATGGTAGCTTGGCTTGTCAAAGGCAGACGACACAAATGGGTTGGCCCAAGGTCCTTGGGACTAAAAGTCCATTTCCTAGAGACATTCTACACTACCAGAAGGTGGTGAGCAATGGCTTTGGAGAAGGTAGGCCAGGTACAGTGAGGGTAGGCCAGGAGGGTGGCACCAAAGGGTGGTATTTATAACCCAAGAACACGGGGGTGAAGTAAGGTTGAGAGAGAGACAATTGTGATCAGATCTACCTGGAAAAATAAGACAGAAAGCAGTGCTTCTGAATCTAAAATTCCAGTTCAAGAGGTGGCTTGGAATATTTGTTTACTTGGAACAGATGTTGCATTTTGCAAATCATAGCCATTTTGCAAATCAAAACACAGCCTTTCCTTTGAGCTGCACACAGCATTGAGGGAGCTGTTGGATGGCACATCCTTGCCATTGACCTGCACACTGTGATCACCGTCTTCATATTTCTACAGGCAAGGATGGTCCATTAAAAATGTCAAGGAGAGGCTGGGCGTGGTGGCTCACGCCTATAATCCCAGCACTTTGGGAGGCCGCGGCAGGTGGATCATGAGGTCAGGAGATCGAGACCATCCTGTGGCCAACATGGTGAAACCCCGTCTCTACTAAAAAATACAAAAATTGGTTGGGCATGGTGGCACGCACCTGTAGTCCCAGCTACTTGGGAGGCTGAGGTAGGAGAATTGCTTGAACCCGGGAAGCAGAGGTTGTAGTGAGCTGAGATCGTGCCACTGTATTCCAGCCTGGTGCCTGGCAACAGAGCGAGACTCTGTCTAAAAGACAAAAAAAATGTCAAGGAGAGAGAGAGAGCGGTTGAGAGGAGAGACTGAACAAATGCGCTTGAGAAATGGCTGGCAAAAGGGAAGGGAAGGGTTGGCCTGGTTTTATATATTTTAAATGTGTGTGTGTGTGTGTGTGTGTGTGTGTGTGTGTGAAAATTGTCATGACATTAGTGAAAATTGATTAGGCAGATGCAAAATCAGGTAGTGTGTTGAAGTTTTAAATGTCCAAATATTAAATCCTAGTGTTTATCATGGCCCTTTGTAAAATGACATATATCTTAAAATAATAGTAATATTAATAGCTAATATTACAGAATGTCTTCCATGAACTAGATGCTATACTAAATATCTTACAAGTAATATATTATATCATCTTTATAAACTATCCTATGAGATAGGTGCAATAATTACTCATTTTATTTATTTTTAATTTTTATTTTTTAAAAACAAGGTTTCAGTCTGTCACCCAACCTGGAGTGAAATGGCACGATCATAACTCACTGTAACCTTAAACTCCTGGGCTCAAGCAATCCTCCCGCCTCAGTCTCCCAGGTCTGCACTACCATGCCTGGGTAATGAAAAAAATTTTTTTTTGTAGAGATGAGGCCTTGCTATGCTGTCTAGGCTGATTTCGAACTCCTAACCTCAAGCAGTGTTCCCCCTTCAGCCTCCCTAAGCCCTGATATTACAGGCATGAGCCACTGCACCTGGCCTACTGTCATTTTCTACACGAGAAAATTGAGGCTTAGAGAGGTAGATAAAAGCATTTATCTGAGGTCACACAGTTTATAAGTGGCTGAGCTGAGATTTGACCCCGGCCTATCTGACTTTACACACTGAGCGCTCAAATAACTTAATCAAACATCTAATCAAAAACGCAAAGCTCTTTTTGAGGTAACTCTAACAGATGCTTAAATGGCCACATGTTTCAGCTGCTGGAATCACCAACATTCTTTGAGCCACATTTAAAAAAACCAAAACAACAGTGATAAATCATTCTGTTTTTGTTTTTTGTTTTTTCCATTCCACGTAGTCTTTTTTCTTTTCTCGTTTTTTGAGACAGAGTCTTGCTCTGTCACCCAGG